TCTCCCACAGCCGGACCGGTTCTGAACGAGGCTCGGCCCAGGTGCAGGAGGACGTCGAAGAGAGATGTTGGATGAACTATTTATTTTAAATTTCCCTCAGTTCTTTTATTCAATCCATTCAATGTTTTAATCTGCATTAATCCAAGCAGTGACAGCCTGAACGAGCCAGATGAACAACGTGGGACATCCAGGATGAAAACAAGAGTCCAGTTCATTAATGTAGTTTACTGTTAACGTGTTTTAATAGTGTGTTCAGTTTAATTATCAGTGTTTGTGTGACATACAGTTTGTGGTGTTGAATAAATAAATAAAAATTAAACCTGATGTCTTCATTTTCAACTTTAGTGTTCATGCTACATGTTTAGCATCATTTTAAATTTGAACTACATCATGTCCAGATAGCTTCATTTAGCTCAGAGCTTCATTATCTCTCACACTAACATAAATACTGTTTATTATTGCTAAACTTATTATTTAGCACATTTGGATGTTATAGTGCAGCGCGACGTGTGCACGTGCCTCGTTCTATAAACAGCGACATTAGAACTGGATCAGACTGTGTCTCTTCCAACACAGATGTTGGTCACAGCACCTGAATCTGACGTAGATTAATTACGAGATTATAAATTTATTCCATCAGTCGTTGTTCTGAAAGCAGTGTATCCGCCGCCATGTTGATAGAAATATAGCGTCTGTCCGTGCGTGTGTGCATGTGGTTTAACACAAAGCCTCAGTGGGAGATGTTTACATCATCAGAGAAAAACCTCCACTCTGGAAGGTGGGTTCAGAAACCTCCAGATCCAAAGAGGGGGGGCACTGGTGTCGTGTAGATGATCAGCAGAACCTCAGAGAGGAAGCTGCAGATGCACTCAAACTATGTGCCGTGTAAACGGCCCCTGAGTTGGATTTGCTGAAGGGATATTGGCAGGTTCCTTTGACAGCACGCGCCCAGGACATCTCCACTTTTGTCACGCCCGATGACTTCCTTCAGTACACGGTGATGGCTTTTGGGATGCGTAATGCCCTAGCTTTGTTTCAGTGGCTTGTGAATGTGATTTTGTCCGGTGTATCTTTCTGTGAGGCTTATCTGGATGATTTGGTGATTTGTTCTGCTACGTGGGCTGAGCGCATGGATCATTTGAAAACTGTTTTTGCACGTCTGAGTGAGGCTACTCTCACAGTTAATCTTGATAAATGTAAATTTAGGCAAGCAACAGTGACATATCTTGGAAAAAGGGTGGGGGGAGGTCAGGTGTGCCCCGTTGAGGCTATTTTGTCTGTTCCTGTATCCACCACTCGTACTGAGTTACAATGCTATTGAGCTATGATTGGTTACTATGGGGTTTTTGCAAAACCTTTTTCTGTGGCTACCCCTTTAACAGACCTACTTAGCCTGAAAGTAGATTTTAATTGGTCAATCTGCTTTCGAGCAGACTAAATCTTTGCTCATCGAGGCTCCGGTGTTGTCTGCCCCTTGCTTTGATGTGACATTTACGTTGGGTGTGGATGCATGGCTCTGGAGTGGGAGCTGTCCTTTGACAGGATGGTACTGATGGTATGGAGCATCCATTTTCTTATTTTTCTAAGAAACTTGATAGACATCAGAGGTGGTGTTCCGTCATTGACAAGGAGGCATTAGCGTTGGTCCTGGCTTTAGACATCTTCGAGGTATGTAGGCAGTTCTAGTGGACCTATGCTTGCTTTTACAGACCATAATCTGTTAGTGTTTCTGGACCTCATGCGTAGTAAGAACCGCCGCCTGATGAACTGGTCCCTGCAGAGCCAGTCTTTAACATCTTCATACAACACGTTCATGGTTAGGACAACATAGTTGCTGATGCACTTTCATGACTGTAGTTCTGTTTTCCTCTCTTTTCTCTGAATGGGTTGATGAGCGATGTCTTTCTTACTGGCTGCATCAATACCATTCAGTATCTTTGGGTGGGGGTGTTATGTGCCTTGAGGCACATTGTTGATTTTATTTGTCCCCTGGAGATATTTTGGGTTTTGGTTAACTAATTAAATTTTAATTGTTTTAAGCTGTGGTGTTTTCCGCCTGCCTATAAATAGGCTGGTCCCAGGTAGCCCGTCCCTCTCTTTTCTTGCTCTCTCCTTTTGCTCGCTCTCTGACCGCCTTTGTTTTTTTGGGCTCCGTTTCCCCCTCGCTCATCCTGTTCAGGATGAGTCCGGACGATGTGGGCCGCTGCACGACAGACCTTCCTGCCCACATCCATCAGCATCTAGAACAACTCTTTAAAGATTAAAGGAAGATGAGTTACAACAACATTTAATTTACCTCTGGTATTAATAACGTAGTTTTGAATTGAACTGAATTGATTAAAAAAATCATTTATTAATTCATTTAAAAGAAACAAAATAAACAAAACAAATTCAACAAAAATAATTTAGGTTATAAACCCTAAACCAACTAAAGCACAAAACACTAAACCAACATATGTATTATTTTGAGTGTTTACAACGACTAATGTGTGTACCAATATTACTGTTGTGATAAATATACAAATATTCATATTTAACATTTAATATGTGTCTATAATAACCACATCCTGAAATGAAGATGTGATGTGGATTTTCTGAATAAAGCACACTAACGTTCACATTTAACTGAATTTGATTAATCACATCAATGAACATATAAACACAAATATATCTTTACAAGAGGTGGGGGGTATTGTGTGCATGTGTATTTATATATATATATATAATGTATTGTAATGTAATTGTAATGTATATACAATTATCTTTGCTGGTACTGATGTGCGTTCATGTTCAAACAGTAAATATAACAATACAGTAGTCCCTCACGTGTTCACAGTTCTTCTATCGTGGACTCGCTCTATTGCGGTTTTTCACAATAAGATTGGACATGACACCCAATTGGCTGATTGTGGATGAGCCACACGATCGAAATGACATTTTTATTTAAAATGAATTATTTAAAATGATTTACACCTGCTGCATCTTTGTGCAGCCCTTACTGCAGGATAAACTTCCTCCTGCAGCTGAACAGCTAATCTCGGTGCAGAGTGGAGAAGTGGGCGGGGCCAAGCGCGCTTGCAGGTGACTGAGAGCAGATGAAGCAGAAAGCTGAAGTCATGACAGTCTGTGCTCCTTTAGAGCATTTAGAGTTTAGAAACATTGTTTATAATATTGCAAGAGTGTGGGAAGG